TATAGATGGGTCAAGATAAATACGAGTTGTCCGTTTGCACATAAGTTTTACGGTATACCCCTCTTTTGCCAAAACATGTGCAAAGCACAATACCTGCTCAGTAAAACCTGGACGTCAAGCATGCCGATAAGTTTATTGAATTACATCTATTATTCTGACATTATTCAATTTTATCTAAAATTTAATTATATTTCAATATATATTGTATTATTTTCTATTTTAATATTTTCAGTTATTTTGATTTGTCCAAAAACTCCAGACGGTCCTTAAGATAGGGAGCATCATTTTTTAAAAGAGTTATCCTCATTCCAGAATCCGCCGGCTCGAGGAAAGATGGTGAAGCTTTTCTGTGCTGTCGTTGGCGGGAACGCGTTCCCTGTGGACATCGACGCAGGCCAGTCGGTGGGAGACTTGAAGGAGGCTATCAAGGCGGAGAATCCCGATACGATTAAGTGCGAAGCAGACAAGTTGCAGCTCTTCCTGGCGAAGAAGGAGAAAGGCGCCGGGGCGTGGCTGACGGAGAACGACGTGAAGGACGGTGTTAGCGGCACGAGTGATTTGAAGCTGCTGGGAGCGGCGCGAGCGAGGCTACGGCGTGTGGGGTTGTCGGATAGGGATGTTGGCGGAGTGGATGAAGAAGAAGAAGCAGAAGGGAGAGGCCCTGTGAACGTGCTGGTGGTGGTTCCAGAGGGGGTTGCAGGTGCCGTGGCGTCAGTTGAGCCCTCGGCTGCGCCAACGACAATTCATCGCCATCCCGAACGTCTTTAGCGATTGGCTGCGATTAACGAAATGATCCGACAGAAGAATCGAAACGGAAACGAGAAGACGAGCAATCAAGAAACCAACAAGAAGCGAAAAAAAATAGGGATCTGGATAGCTCAGTGTCGTATTCAAGCTTGTCATGGTCTGAAGTTGAGTCGATTCTACCGCTTATCTTCAACCGAAGCCCGTTCCTGACGAGGTTGTGGAACAAACAATGACCCGGATCGCGCAAACACACAAGCTGTACGGGGAGGTCTATACAGGAACGGACGCCAAGCGTAAGATGTTCATTGCGGCAGTTCTTGAAGCAGTTTGTCTTTTGCTTGGTGATGTCGAGATCCTCTGCGAAGAGGAGGTGAATGGGAAAAATGTACGCGTGCATAGTCAATTTGAGTTTGTGCTCAAGCGTGGCCCGAAGCGGATATCAATCGTCGAAGCAAAGCGCGATAACATTGAGCAAGGACTGGCTCAGAAAATTACCGGTCTGGAAGTGTTAGCTGATGTTGAAGGACTAGAGCAAACATTTGGTATTTGTTACCAATTATCTCAACTGGGTCTTCATTAATGATGGCGATGAGGTAGTTCAACTTGTTGACCGGTCACTCGACATCATGTTTTCGGAGCCTATAAGGGAGTCACTGAAGAATATTCTCGGCATGATTTATGGGATGCTCTCGAACACCACTTGCTGAAGGGTAGGTACTGGTAGTTTGATCAGTTGCATTATTGCACTTCGGAGGATATATTTTAATCCTGAAAAATATAAAGTTAGTAATATAGAAAAATGGTGAACTCTCCTGAGCAATACCAAGCTGACAAGGAGCGAATTAAAGCAGCGCAGAAGCGCTACTACCAGCGCACACGCGAAGCTCGTTTGTCCTTTCAAAACGGGTACGACGATAAGAATAGAGAGCAAAGTCGAGAGAGAAAACGAAAACCAAAAATCGAACTTAATCAAGACCAAACCGAACTTAGTCATGACAATCGAACTTAATTAATTATTATTTATTTATTTTACAGTGATCTTCATGAGCGTACAATTTCCCCTCCTTGTTAGTGCCTACACCTCCATTTAACATTAGAGACACACTGCCTAGAAATGGAGATCTCATGGCAGCCTTGGGCGACGGATATGCTCGTAGATGTCTAACTAGCACTAGATGTAGGGCACAGTCCAGCTCACTTTGATTCTCTGACACGATTAAGTGCATTTTTAAAACTTGCTAGCGACTTGAGCTCTTATTCTTGATCTTAGTAGGGGAGCTGTCATGAAATGAGGTACGGATAGTCTGTGTTAAAAGATACCAATTAAGTTTTAGATTGTAGCTCAGGTACTACCCATATTAATAGTTCCAGTGCAACGTTTCCATGCTACATTTCTCGATTCTTGTCGTACTGGTGTGGAAAAATAAGTCCCGAGAGTACTTACAAATAATATTGGAAGTCCGGGAGATCTTGTACTACAAGATAAAGCTGAAGACTGCAGTGTTATGACAATGGCAAAGACGTGTTACAGTCGTTTGCGTTTTAACTAAGTTCTTTGTGAATGCATCGATGCATCAATGCAACATCGTCCAAGATACACTAGCTCTTTTTTGAGTCTCACATTCAGTTCCAATCCTTGGACGCACTAGGGATCCAGTACTAGAATTAGTATTAATATTACTACCAGTAGTAAATCCTTGTAAAACTTCTATGCTCCAAAAATAATTGGAATGGGGTCTGCTTGGCAGACTATTCAAGAGGCGCAGTGAATCTTTTGAATTTCAACAGCATGTCAGAGGTGGAGGAGACACTCGAACGCATCAAGAATCACAAGGGCGTGGAGGGATACGTGATCGCCGACCGCAACGGTAACGTGCTCCGACGTCATCCGCAGATGCAAGTATCCGAGGCCGAAAAGTACGCGCTGTACATGAAGGAGCTGACCACGAAGGCACGGGGTGTGGTACGTGACTTGAACCCCAAGAACGATCTGCAGTACATGCGCATCCGGGTCAAGAAACTCGAGCTGCTCATCGCACACGGTACGCCGTAGGCTCTACTCTTCCCTACTTCCTGGGCTAACACGCAGGGACACAATTATTAGAGAAAGACTTCTTGGTCGTCGTCATCCAGAGGTGGACGCCAACGAACAGTTAGCTGCGGCCAAGCACACGAGTCGTAGACCTCACCTCACAACTTACTCAAAAATGCGACGAGGTTTTCATTCATACCCGCATGGTTCATGCAGACCTGTTGTCACTGGGAAGGCGAGTTTGTCGTTGGGTTTCTAGTGCCAGCATTGCGTTCCACGAATCCTTGGAGATTTGTCCTTCCCCACGACTGAGCGCCATCAGACGAGCGAGTCTCAACCAGCGGTGAAGATCTTCCAGCTGCATCGTGAATCATAAAAAAAAAAACGTCAGATACTCCTCTTCTACCACGAGTAGTACGAATTACTTACCGCTACTTTTTGCTCGGACTTTCGGCACTCCACGTAGTGTTTCTCAGCCATCTCAGCTTCCTCGTTACCAATCGTGACCACAAACGAGCGTAGTACACTGAGGAACAGGCGAAAACACTCTAATACCTGCTCCGTCGGCAACTCCTCGGTCGCACTGCTGTCGGTAGCAACAACTGGCACAGCCACAGTCACTGGTAAAATACTTTTGCCCTCCGACACTGTGATGACAGCCACGTCCTGCGGAAAGTCCATGTTGTAGTAGTGAAAGTCGTAGGGCAGCAGCATCTTGTCCACCAGCGACTGCAACGCGGCCACGTTCTTGACGCCCTGTTCGTTCAGTTGTCCGGCCGATAAGACCGTCTCATTCACCAGCATCGTCGTCCCATTGGCCACTTGCAACACGCCACTCAGCAGCATCTCTCGCTCGTAGTCTTTGTGAGGCATAAACTTGGTCGAATTGAGCTCCTTGAGCGACAGATCCACTCGCGCCACCATCGGCATCAGCGACGTCAGCGTCTGCTCCACATCAGCAATAAATGACGTTTTCTGCTCTTCCGTGGACGCTTTGTCCAGCGACAAGTTCACAGATAAATTACCCAACGGAGTCGACGGGTCTGCACGTGAATACACGTGCGATAGCAACCCCAAGAGCAAATACTCGGCCGCCAACGTGTCTCCACGCACTGTCTGTGCCAAATACTGTACGATCCGGTTACGCATGGCAACAATATCTGCTTGTTGGCCTAGTTTAGACCACTCGTCCTGGCAGAACTTGGTCCGTGAGTCGTTGCTCTCGTGGATTCTATCGTAAAATTCTATGGACTCATGAGGACGCACGTGATGCACACTCTGCAGGCTGCTGACATGGCAGCAGTGCAGAACGACACCAGATCGTCCTTTACGTTGCACCTCGTCGATGCAGTCGGCGATCTGGAGCTCCTCGAGTTGTTTGGCACTCAAAACGTTCTCAGAGTCGCTCTTCTTGGCGTCTGTACCGGGTATCATCAGGTCCAAGATGCCCACGAATTCGAAGGCCTCGTTCACCTTGAAAGCGTCCAATGGCGTGTCCTTGTACTGGCCATCGTAGACGTAGATGTTGACAGATTGAGGCAGCAAAAGCCCCTCGTTCCCGTCCTCCTGTTTCTCCACCGCCTTGGATTTCTTCACGTGCGATTCGTCCTGCGTTTGTTCAGATACGTTATCCATTTGTTCATCCACGGCTGCGCTGGAGCGCTTAATGCCCTTGGAAGCTGAGGGACGTTCATTCTCGCTATAATGACCATCACTTTGAGATGCTTTGTCGACCACCGAAACGTTTCGATACGCGTGGGTGGACCAGTCACTCGCATGAGGGAAAAGAGTGACCGTCAGGGGTACACGCTCCACCAACTGTTGGCGCATGGCGTCGCTGTCGGTCAGCGCAGGTGCCTCGCCGCCTAGCAACACCAACTCCGGGTCCTGCACGTCGCGCACCACGCCACGGAACTTGAGCACGCTTCCATCGCGGTATTTACCCTGGCGGAAGGCCGCTTCGTCCAGCACGGGCACGGTGGAGACGTCGCGGGCTGCAGACAGTAACGATGACAGGTCCAACATTCCCAAGCACCAAATGACTTGAATTTTGTAAGGTACGTGCGTAACCGGTTACGCTAACAGGGTTACGTTGAAGTTGATCATGCCAGACGCTTGCCATGCTTGCAAATTGTAAGTTGCAATTTACAATCCGTCGTCGGAAGATGGGGCTTTGTCATGTCTACGGGACTGGATGCCCATTGGAGTTGCATGGACATCATGGGGCGCCAAGCAAGTTGGTCACTGATATCACCAACTTGGAAAGAGTTGGGATGTCCCTAACAGATCGTAGAAAGCAACCAGGCGACGCAGAATTAACACCAGACGTCGAGGTGCATTTCATTGCGCGATATTTGAACTTCAGATTCTGAAGCAGGTCCGACCGAGTGGAGCGAAATAACAAGCAGACAGTCGTGAACAAGTGCTCACGATCTTTGATCAAGTGCGTGCCGTGTGCTTGTTGCGCTTGTTTGGCCAAGTGCCATGCTGGACTTTAGCGCTTTGACTCACCTTTCAGTGTACTCATGCCTCCGTGTCGTGTTGAGTGTTTGAAGTGTAGGTAGATGGGTGGTTCGTCTTTTTCAGATGGCTATGCCGTTGCAGTGGAAAGCCGCTCTCGTCACTTGTCACTGACAATGTCAGTGTCATCTCTGCTCCGGAAGCTTGTAGGTCATGGCATACCCTGCACGTACCGCCTCGTAGGTTAAAACCTACTGCTACATGCATAATAATAAAAAGAAAAAAAATGGGGTCACCACGGCGATTACGCTTTCGACTTTACCGCATCAACATGTACGACTGCTTTCATCTACATGTACATGTAAAATGGTAAATATTGAAACTGGAAGTGTCGGCACTATTCGTACTATGCATGTACTTGTCGATGGGTGCCGTTCGTCTCTACGAGTACAACACTGATACATCCTTCTAGCACGCATTTCGATTGTACTTGCGTAAACTCTTTCGGTGCTATTCTTGCAAGTTCGCTCATGTCGCGAGCATGCATTTACATTAGCTCATCGCCGATTGAGTACGTTCGGGCTGGGCATCAGAAGAGCCTCAGGTGTGTATAACCAAATGCATGCACAACAAACGACAGTTGAAAGATGTTTGGTCTTTTCTACTGTAGTAACGCGCACTTCGAAGTGTATTTACTGTTTGTTTCTCCGGATATCATCTCAAAGATTTGGATTAACGTTGTGGGGCCAACAATGCAAAGAATGTAAACATATCATTCTCACTAATTATACTATTTGTTAGATACATCCTTCTGCGTGCTCGTCAAAGACAACGTAAAAGGAGGTGATGCCGTACAAACAGAACGTCGAACGGCAAGTTCGGTTGACATGAGGTGTTCTGGATCGTAGACTTGCTGAAATATGAAGCAAATCTTAGTCAGCGCTACATCATAGAACTTTACGTTAATACTATATAAATGAATATCCGCTATATCATAATATCATAAATAAACATTGCTAGGTAAAAAGGACTACTGTATCACATTACCTGGGTAAATGTATATTAATCGCGACAGCGCTATTTCTTGTTTTGGAGGCACAATCCTTCAAGATCGTGCCGACACGCATAGCGTGCAGCGGAGCTCACTCCATTTGGTCGGTCAGCTCAGCTCCCCGCCTATCTGTCTCGACACTCGCAACGAGGACCGATTGGTGAGCACCGAATGAATTTCATTTTGAATTTACCAGCGCTGATCATACTTGGGTTTTCGTGGCGCTTGGTCCAAGCCTTCCCAAATGATTCGATCTAAGCTTGCATTCGGTTATCTGGCTGTGATGACAAGTCTTACCGGGACCGTGAGTATTGATTGGACCTTCTTGAAGGACGGCAGTGGTTCAACGTCAAGTCCCTCGTCACTTGATATGGATAAGAAGACCTCTTCAACAACAGAACGAGCAGGTTCGTCAGGCCCTTCGTTACTCGACACGCCTTCAGCGCTGGATCTGGTGTCTGGGTCATCTTCGTTCGACAGTGAAACATTACTCGAGAAATACGCTACCCCTTCCACTGCCGTAAGCACCGTCCGATCAACGTACCGCAACTGGGTGGGTCCATGGAGTATCTCGTCGGATACGTCGTGCTACCGTGAAGCCCACATCATGGACGTTTGCCCAAGCAACTTTGATCGTAACGAACTTACAAATACCTGCTGGACCGAATGCCCCCTGGAATTTCCTCTCGAATGTGGCATGGAGTGTGCCCGACAGAACACTGACTGTGGTCTCGAAGTCGCAAGCAAGGTCTCAGCGTTGGCCATGGCAGTGCTGGGTACTGCTACATTTGGAGTGATCGGTGAGATGGTAAAATTGGGCAAGAAGTTGACTTGGGCCGTCAAGTGCACGAATCAGTTGCTGCTGGTGATGAGAGGTATCATCAGGTATGTCCGTAACGTCAAGACTGAAGACCCGCAGGCGTCCCAGGATAAGCTGCTGCTCATGCTGTATCAGACCAACAACGTCGTGACCGATTTACCCATGGTCATTTATGCATGTATGGGCAAAAACATCCCTTCAAACCTCCGACTCACGCAGATTGTGTTGGCTACGGCCCAGTGGATGCTGCTACAAGCGCTTACTTACGACGATGATATTATTTCGAGCTGGCAGCGATTCCGAGCGTTCATGAAAGGCGCCAACTTCACGGAGGCAGCAGAAGAGATCACGGAGGGCGAGATTGCATCGCTGGAGACAGCCATGCAACAAAACTCGAGTTGCGCTGGCGACTTGAAGTCTTTGACCGACCGTGTCTGGATGACCGTCAACGAGTACCGAGAAGACAACCCAGGTATCTCGGATGACGAGCTTCGTCTGAAGATCAGCGAGTCCGACCTTGTGCTCTATGACGTCGCCATCGTCACCAACAACTGCATGCACCAACTGATCTCCGAATCCAGCGTCGAAACTGCCTACAAGACTCGTGAAGCGCTTCGAAAGACTTTCGGAGTCATCATCAACGACCTGATCAAGTCTGGTAAAAGTGACAACGGTACGTCACTAGACGAGAAAGCGGCCGCGTACAAGTGGATCGACATGGGTCTGTCCACAATTTCCGCTTCGATGATCGACCCGACCGATATCGCGACGCTGCTGTCCGAGTATATTCAGACCATTTGTGGCCCCACGCAGTTCATGGGTGAGATCGACGACGGTACGGAAGACGCGACACTGGGCTTGAATACCCTGCAAAGAGCTTTCAAGGGTAGCTCGAGCTCATGGACAAGAGTTGGTGATGGCGCGGTAATTATCAACTTCACGAGTACCGATACGAAAGACGTGTCGGTGAATATCATGTCTGGGGGTGATAAGATCGAAGAGGTGGACGTTAAAGCTGGAGGCACTGCCCAGTGGACGTCGAATATCACTACACTTGGCGGTAAGACGCTGTACTTGGATCGCTGGCGTCCTGGTTTCCTAGGGTTTCCAGGAACGGGAGGCGGATCTCTCGTTTTGTGGGTACCTAGAGCGTCTCGAGGTGGCCATCTAGAGCTAAACGTAAAGATTAACGTCAGCTAGGAACTAAAGCATAAAACAACAATCTGTTTAAATTTAAATACCAAAAGTCATGTCAGAGTTGGGGTAACAGATATGATAGGACCAGTTTAGCGGTACATCAATCTGCTATTAGAATACTTCTCGAGCTCACTGAAGAATCGACGTTTGTTTTTTCTCGTCACAAATAATGGTAGAATGTTATCCACAGACGAGCAAACCGCAATATAGAGCCAAAGTACTTTCCAATTTATTGATTCTACTGCCTGAGTTTTTTAGTGATAATATCAATAGAGTTTTGATTTTGTCTTATGCAATACGGCCGCACTGCAAGGCAAAACTGTATGTGCTTAATCTAGAGACAATTTTCGTTCATGTATGTGGAGGTGTGAGTCATAGGGTACCCCTCAATGCAACGTTAGAGCTTGTTATATTTCGAGTTTTCCTGGAATAGCAGTACGAAGTGCTGCAGAGCAGCTTGCAGACGATTAACTCGTTATTCTTCGATTTTTGTCTTGAAACTTGTATCCGTCACGCTTTCACGTCCTTTCACGTCTTTCCCCTTCATTTTTGTTCTAGGGCTGTACCACCACCATTCTTCCATCGATCTCAATATTTTGGCAGTTTTACAGTTTTGGTTAACATGCCACACTCGAAATCTCAAAGCTTCTTAGTTCGCAGCAGGACTAAGGCCCGCGCTATTGCTCAGTTGAAAACATGCGTGTGCGTGCTGCAATAGAAGAACTGGCGCGTGGAGCAGCGCTAGAGCCGCTTGAACCGCGGGCGGCTTGGCAAACGCTGGATGTACCCGGCGCTCGTTACAGACATCATGGAGCTTATTTTGGTGCTTATCCAGAAAATGTGCGAATACAACGTCCTAGAAACTTTTCCATCCGCGTGGGCCCCCTTAGTAAAACAGTGGAAATGAGTTAAGCAACAAATATTTTTACTTTAGACCTTGATATTCCGAAATCTGCTTATCCTTTTCGTGATTTAACCCAAGCCCAAAGGTGGTTTGAGGAGAGCTTTCAAGGTTCTTGCCAATCGCTTCCGTGACCCGATGCTATCCCAGCCTCCGCCTCAACCCTAGCAGCGACGATGCGCAATCTCAAAAACTTCTAACCAATCACATGCTCTATTTATGGATTATATCCAATCATGTTCGAAATGTAGGCCACATCTTTGTGCTTTTTGTATGAAGTATCGGTTCTGAAGAGTTAATAGAGCTGCGCACATTAAGGTTCCATGAGGTAGTCTAATCAAACTCTTTTTAGCTTGTGAGCTGGCAGCAGACATCCAAAGAGGTTGCACAGGAGGTGAAGTGAGACCTGTCAATCTAGCTGAGACGGAGATGGCCGGGACAGACAGGCAGTCGAAATGGGGTGGATGTGGTAGCCGGAATTGAAGTCATCATTTGTGGGCGACCACTCCGACTCCAGGCCAGCATTCGAGAGGCACAACTGGCACCAATAATTCTGGAAAAGCGGAGCTGGAGATGCTGCCGGTGATGACGCCGCTCCCGAGGTGACTGACCTAACTATCGTGGTTGTTGGAGCGGTCGCTTTTGAGGAAGATGATGGTGGCAACTCGAGCACCATCTCAATGGCCTAGTCGTTGGATTTGAGTACTGTGTCTCTGTAGTGTCTGGGGTCAACTCCTCTGTCAGCATCAACGTCACTGTCGTGTACACAGACTATAATGTTATCACGTCTCCTCTGTTGACGCCACCTTCTATCTGTACGAGATGATGGAGCAGACGCAGACGACATAGCTTATGCACTTCAACTGGAAGTCGTGATGAGAGGGGGGCTTGGTCATTCAAGGCGGCAGGATGAAATGAGTACGTCAAAAGCCAGTACATCAAACTCGGTCATGGAGGTTCCGTATAATCAACCACGTCACCCACATGCAAGAAATGGCTGGACCTGTGGATGAATTAAGATGTAGCAGTGCAATTCTATTCCAAAACGACTGAGCTGGGTCTGGATCTGGCTTGGATGGTCCCTGACTCAACCATGCTAATATCCAACTCAAACACTCGGCTTTGCCGGCACCTGACCATTCGATTTCCAGAAATGCTGACCATCCCGACCAGTGAATATCGTAATCTAGAGCTGTCGATTCATACGCGCCAAGATGGTGGTTTGAGATCCCCAGCTGGGGTCACTACATTGGTTAGCTCAGCCAACGCTGTGCCCGCTTCTCCATGGCTCCGTCCGAAGCTAGCGGTTACTTCAGCTGGACCCAACGAGTCAGCTTCGCCGGCGGCTTCAGTCGCACTATCGCCAACTTCTACATCCGTATCTGCCACCGAGTCAGATGCGGCTTCTCTACCAGCGACCAAGGTGTCCTCATCGCCGACTACCACTACAACCCCGGTGAGCTCACTCGACAGACGCATTGCATCCGCTGCGCAGAAATACCTTGATTTGAGGATGTTGCGTGTTTCAGGGAGTATGTTTACGCCGTCCCAGCTTCTGTATCGACACGGGCATCCTGGGTAGTCGCTGCGGCGATCCTCGACCTTGGACTCCTTAGCCTCCCTTCCGCGGCCTCACGTTTGCCCCTTACGTGGGGACGAAGGCTAAGAGTAATCTATGTCGTTTTGGACAACAACTGCACTCAGGTATTGGTGTCTGTTGAGGCTGCATCACGTCTAGGTGCAACCGCCATGTAAGGATTGTGCATCAGCGCCTATTCTTGGAGTTTTATGACGGAGAATAGTGGACCGCTGGCTGTTGAGGACCAACTGCGCTTAATGAAGATCGAAATCAGTGCAGAGGAAGCGACTTGACTTGTGAAGGTTTTCGAAATGTTTGGCAGGCACACCCTGAATAATGACGCACGCAGCGTCGCGATCCGAGATGTCTTGTTCAAGGTCTCTATGTTGACGTCATGTGGGAGAACGTGCTCATGGTGGTATCACCCTTGACCTTCTCGAGTGTTGGAATCATCTTGACGCGCTTCTCGGATAGAGTCAGCGCTTTCCGGGGGAAGTGCTGACACCTGTTTCTACCCTTCCTTCAGGTCCCAGGCTGGCACAGTGGTTGTGTAACGTCTTCCTCTCCTCCTCCAAATCGGATTTGCCTGCAACGAGCGATTCCAGCCCTTTATTCAACGCTTCATTGGTTGTTGTTCAATGTACTAAGCTTATTCTAGAGTGACGCAAGGAGTTCAGTGTAGTCTGGAGCATGGAGGCCCGTTGTGAATGGTCACGAGCTCCTCAAACGACCGAGCTAGGAGCAGGGCACTACGTCAAGTAGCGTCGAGGTATCCAATGGAGCTCGTGATCCAAATGGAGAATATTCATCCTGTCAGCAAGGACAGCCGGAGTGCAGCACAGGAAGAACCCAAAGAGGCTATTGGAAGATAGCAGACATCAAAGGTGAATTTTCCAAGTTCAAAGCATGTGTACACTCTTCTGGTAAGTATCTGCACAAGGCCAGATTATGACTGCGGTTGGTACTCGAGAGGTCTATACGGCGGGGGCAGCTGATATGCACATGCTAAAGTCTGTGTGCCCCTGAATAGCTCCGGGATACCCTACGGGGAGTGGATGTGTGTACTCTATGCCGGATTCGGGCAGTGTGAACGGCCCACGGGCTGGTAGCGCTTTCCCCTCGCGAAGAAGTAAAGTCTATCTTAGCGAGCACAGAAACGTCTGCGCAGCTGGCATCGACAAAGTTGGTCAGGTCACCAAGTCTGCGAGCCGGTACGTCAACAATTCTAGCTGAGACGACGAGACGACTTCGCGCTCGGTGGACTGTAAAAGCGCTCGTGCGCCGCCGTCCATATTTGGTAGAGGGTACAGATTTTTAAGAACCGAGGCTCGCTGGGATCACCTAGTCCTCGAAGGAGACTGACTTGGCTGTTCGACACCTAGCAGATGCGAAAGCACATGCCCGTCCCGGCTAGGCAGAGCTGCGAGGGGACCAACCACATACGCGAGGGTGGGCTCTCCATTCGGGCTATTTTCAAGAAAGTCAAGCGGTCGAGAGACGCCGTCAAGCGCGCGCTAGCTGCACCTTGTCACTGGCGGCATACGCCAGGGCGGAAGCCCGTTGTGTCGGAAGCGGCTGGCTCGCTTGCTGCTGCGGAACGCTGCGAGTGGCAACTACTCCGCCGCCTAGCTCATGGCCGCGTGCAACTGCACGTGCAGTACCCGCACTATCAGGTGCCTCCTTTCGGGTGTAGACTAGCCAGTCTACACCAAAATGGAGAATTCACTGCCTCTCACGACAGTACATAAAGCGCATCGCCTGGCCTGGGCAAAGGCTATGGTGGTCATGCCCCACGAGCAGTGGGAGCGAATAATTTTTTCAGACGAGAAATTTTTTAATTTGAATGGGCCGGAAGGCCTCCAGAGGTACTGGCACGACGTACGTCGTCCACCACGCACTACAGAGCAGTGACAAAATGGAGGCGGGTCTGTGGTGATTTGTGGCGCTTTTAGCGCCAAAGGTCAGGCAAAGCTCGCAATTCTTGTCGGTCGCCAGGCCTCGGCACCGTATATTCATACTGTGTCCGAGTTTTTGCTTCCCTACGCTCATCTCAACTACGGTGTGAAGTTTATCTACCAGCAAGACAACGCGTCTATTCATACCTCGGCGGAAACCAATGCGTTTTTCGAGGAACAAGGGATCTGTGTGTTTGACTGGCCAGCCAGGTCACCGAACCTTAATCCCATCGAGAACTTGTGGGCATTATTGGCGCGCAAGGTCTATCCAAATGACCGGCAGTACGCTAACGTTGCGGAACTTACTAGTGCTATTGAGAACGCGTGGGACACTATTCAGCTACCCACGCTAGTCACCTTGATAGAGTCGATGCCAAGGCGTTACATCGAAGTGATTGAGAAGAAAGGAGCTAAGACCCACTACTAATACAATCATTTTGATCTAATTATATTGATTTCACTATGGTGACTAGGTGGCCGGAAGTTTGGGCCAGGTAGACGATCGGACTTTTTGTATGGGAGCTACCCTGCAAACTGCAAAACTAAGGTTGTTAGCTCAAACACCCTGTCGCATTACATAATAGCAACACTATATCTAAACCGCAGCTCAAATTCGCAGTAGTTGCCAAAAGTGGGGGTGGCCGGTTTAATTTGACCAGGAGTGTAGCCAGTAATGCTGCCGTGTCCCGATGCTATCCCAGCCCCCGCCTCAGCCTTAGTTTAGTTGATGGCTGCAAAATATATAGTACATAAGAGTTCTGCTAACAGCGCCGTTTTACTAACAGTGTCACCTTGAGAATATCTGCGTCACCGAGAGTGGTGTGAACACCACGACGGCGGTGTGGCGAGGTCTAGTTTTATAACTGCCAATCAGTATTGTAGCGGTTGACAATGCTTCTGTTACTAGGTTCTCGTCGTTGGCTTGAGTCGACGACGGTATTTCAAAGCAACTTCGTCTGAACGTATCTAACCGATACGAAAATAGCTCCCCCTGCTCTTCTGTGGGTAAAACCCCAAATAGAAGACCACCTTTCATCAACATCATGCGTCATACTACGCTGGCTGTTTTTTATCGCTCAAGAAAGCGGAATCGCTTCTGCATGGCACACGTAATGCAGTGTCATGATATGGGAAAGGAATAGTTTCAAGCGCTTGACTTAGTTTTTGGTGAGCTGTGGTCTGTAAATGGCGAGAAGATTCGCTACGTGTGTGCGCCGAGCCTACTCGCTCATCACACGTACGAAATATCGTAGTACGTAGTACTAGTACATGAACGAAGTTACAGAGTCACAGTATACTTCTGAATAGACTACTATTATCCAGCTACTATACGCCACTATACACACGAATTTAACCACACTACATGCAGCAATTCAACAGTTTATTAATAATAATACTACAAGTAATCCGCAGCCTAATTGACACTCGGGATCCCAAGGCTACAACGCAGCCACTGGCCGATCGCGACACGAGGCTGCTACAAACGTTAGACATAGGTAAGTTTAAGAATGTGGATGCACTAGCTCCTCACCGATGCCTAGTTCATGTGGCGCTTCATTTTATAGTAGCCAGGTTGTGGAAATGGTGGCCAACACGGAACGCAATTTGGGTACCTGCGTTCAACTTCTCACCTAACTCTGGCCAACTTCAACCGTGAGATGCTGGACTAGGCATCGAATACGTAGCGAATGAACTTGCAGTCACGAAAGCGAGAGAATTGGCCTTCCTGGTCGAGTAAATCGACACGGTTATAAACACCTTGTGGCTCTGCGGCATGAACGACCCAGTACGGAAGCTTCGGGGGATGCCAAGCGTGTCCGCGAGGGACGTTAGTGCCGAGACACGCTCTAAACTTGACTGAAGGGCATCTCGGACACGTTCGCGGACCTACACACCAACATCCAGGAGCACTACTGGAACCGAGGCTTCTTGACGCTGGTTGAGGTGACCGGAGTAAATTGGAAACTGAGCACCGTTCCCAATTCGGCACGACGTACACTTCATGTACGTGCGTTGAACCCAGGCTACGCCTGGTCGCGAGTAGAAGAAGGACGTGTGATTAGATGCATGGAATAATGGGACGCAATTTTCACTATCTTGAAGTTGTATTGTGGTGTCCGGATCTATGTTTTTTGGTTGAAGCATCTTCCTTCGCTCAATAATCTCCGCAAAATGGGAATGGGCTTTGCTGGTCGTCGGTTGTGCAGGCGGTAACCGGGCGTTTGCGGTTTCGGCAGCGCATTGTGATCTGCAACACCAGTGACGCAGCAGGCGTTCGCAAGGTGTTTCGCGATACTATTGGTGTACTAGCCTGGTGATGCTCGGCATGTTTACCCTATGGTGGTACATATACAGCAGAAGCTGTGGTTCAAGAAAAGCGAATCGGTCGATGAGCTGAAACTGTACTAGTACTAGTTAAAAGTAAAATAACCTACCTCGTCCGTTTGGTTGGTGAAAGGGAGCAGCACCGACATTTCCTTAGACGTATTAATCGCCAAACTGATATTTTGTTCGCTGGATTTTAGGCACAGTATGAAAATCATTCCGGCGATGGAGATTGCAGCCATGTTCTATAACCCGGTCTATTGGCCGTATGTTTTTATTAATTTTAGTATGAATGGTTGAGGTTGTTAACACCAGCGTTAGCGTAGGGAGGAATTGTAAGCTATTAATATGCAACTGGAACTATATACTCGGATTCATACATGTGCTTGCTTAGATAGCGTGACCCCGCGAGAGCCCATTGTGGACATTCCAGCTTACACACGCGCTCTGTGATGCCAAGCAGCTTGACCGTATACAGTAACTGCAACAATTACAAAAACTGCATGGCAAAAGCCTTTTTAAACGAGCCGCACCACCGACAGTGTCCGAGAGAAGACGTCGTCAGGTTTCTGGCTTTGCTGGACCCCCATAATGACCTTCTTTGCGTTGAACAGTATTCCAAGGAAGCGGATGGATGGAGATGAGCTGGTAAGTCGCCCGGTGCTGCGTTGAAGCAGTATTCGGTTCACGGTTTCCTTCTTGGTTAGAGGGCTGCAGTTTTCGCTTCAGACAGGACACTAGTCCGACCCTGACCCACATGCACAAGACCAAGATGAACAATGAGGCGCGGAACACTTCTTTCACTCGTGTAGGCAAACATTTGGTATCCATGTATGTGCGAGTTTGCCAACGTCATACAGATTTTGGGAGAAGTCTCCTCACGGGAGACTCAAGCCTTGACATGCTTGCCTAGACATAAGACGGATTACCAATGTGCGATTAGCAAATCTCATCAGTGAAAAAAAAAGACCGAAAAAAGTAGGCACAACAAAAAAATAATAAAATGGGCTCATGGAATGGGTATTTTTTGGCTGTAAAGAAAGAATTAACATGTACCGTACCGTAAGACGTCGCCTGTGTTTACTTGCAGATGATAATAATGGCAGAATTCAATGAACTATGTGTAATTCATGTAGTAAATCCGCCGTGATTCGTATATAAATCCGCGGTAAGCTGGACTATGCTGAGACGGGCTCCAAGTCGTGATAGTACGACCTATTTTTTGCCTTTCTTATGAATCTCTTGTGACGCTGCAGTCGTGTGGTGTGTTCCAGTGTGCCTATTGGTTCGCTTAGTACACAATTTGGTGCATGCCACCCACTCCGCCGGTAATGGTTTTCGGCTTATCTTCGTGATCGACTTTAAGATTAAAATGGCATCATGGGCTCTGTATATCCGATAGCAGTGAAATTCAAAGTACGGTATGGTGAACTTAAAGATAAAAATGCACATGAGCAATACTGGCTAGACCAGCAGCGCTATTGTCGATGCAAATCTGGTCTAGCCGTACTATTATCCGTATATGTACAGCCGTCATAAAAACTAGTCTTATTTGAATAATTATGAGCACTATCTATAAATTTAATCCGCCTGGACATACAATATATTTGCATATACACAAATAGTATTAATTACATTACGAACAGATCACTAGAAATATGATAGGACTGCAAATGATCGAGAAGCTGATCTTCCATTTCTCAATTTCCACAATCGTATAGCTTTGAACATATAGCACTATCTTCGTATAATGATAAATGTCGACTGCAGACGTCCACGGCCTCGTTGATATTGGCTGCACCTGTGATTGCATAGCTTCCAGCAGTGAGGCTT